AAACCAAAGTAAAATTATGGTTAAGAATGTAAGATTAACATCTGAGCGCTCGATAAACACTTTGAAGCAGAGTTTGTCAGATCAGGACTGGAATAACTTAGAGAACAAGCTGTTAATATTGCATATACACAGTTTGTTAACACAATCAAACATCTGATCAACATTGTGCAGTTGGAACGCACAAATACACACAAAGATATGTCTCCCATGGATGACAAAGGGGTTATTGAACACATGTAAAAAGGAAAACTTCTTATATAAAACATTTATAAAAAAGAGAACATTGGAAACCGAAACTAAATATAAAAAATATGAGAATAAATTATTATAATAAATAAAAAATTGTAAAAGAATTTACTATAGAAAAATGATACAGGTAAAAAAAAAACAATGTGAAAGGACTTAAATCATGCAATGTCTAAAGACATAAAAAAAGCTAGTTTTTCAGATTACACGATGGAAAACAATGAGAAAATGAAAGGCCTCGCCGCACAGCGTGACAGAGGTGGCGCTGACGTGGCGCTGACGTGGCGCTGACGTGGCCCTGACGTGGCGCTGACGTGGCGCTGACGTGGCGCTGACGTGGCGCTGACGTGGCGCTGACATCAGTGCCGCCCTGATGGGAGCGACACTGGGTTTTGAATGTCTATGATCAGTGATTGTGTGTCAATGTTAACACTATTATGTGTCATGATCTATAGTCCAAAGCCTTTGACACTATATCATGATATTCTCTTAAGTAAACCTAATCATACTTGACTGAAAGACAGCAGTACGTCCAAATGAATGAACATGTATCAGGACGGACGGGGTCTTTATTAGGTCCTACATTGTTCTTGTTGTATATAAATGATCTTGCAGACGACACAACAATTCTAGATTCTGGCAAAGATCTCCAAGTGCTTGTCTCAGAGGTCACAACAGAATTATAAAAACTGAAAGAACGGTTCAGTAGAAATAAACTATCGCTGAACATATTAAAAACAAAAATGATTTTATTTGGTAAATGAAACATCCATTGTCTTCCCCTTAATCCATCTCTGGGTCGGGGGGGTGGCAGTCAGAGCTGCACCCAGTTCACAGAGCACCAGCCCCTCACTGATCCTCCTGCAGGTGCTGAGTCCACAGGAGCTGAGATCTTTCAGTGGGGGCTTCAGGCAAAGTGGGGTTAAGTGTCTTGCCCAAGGACACAACGACAGCAGTCATCAGTGTGAGTCGTGAAGTAGGTCTTATGATGGGCTCGAACCCACGACCTTCAGGCCCAAAGGCCAATGCTCTACCAACTGAGCTACTGTCGCCCTTAAATGAAACAGTGATATTAAAATTCAAATCAATATTGATAATGCTCAAATTGAACAAGTCAAGGATTATACATTTCTGGGTGTGATGTTCAAACATAAGGCTGGCTGGAGACCACAAATAGACAGCATTCAAGGGAAAATGGCAAAAAATGTGGCGATAATGGGCAAATGTAGATTTTTTCTGGACCAAAAGGCTCTCTTCACCTTGTACTGTTCCTTAATCCTACCGTACATAAACTATTGCTCAGAGATCTGGGGAATACCTTCAGTAGTCACTTACAGGTTTTATACAGACTCCAAAGAAGGCCATTAGAATCGTTCATAATGTCGGTTATAGGGACCACACAAATATACGGTTCTTAGAATCAAACACCATGAAATGTGATGATCTCATAAAACATAACTCTGTTACAGGTAAATAAAGCTGTAAACAACCAGCTGCAACGTGCAACAAATGTTTGGTAAAAGAGATAAGATACGACCTAAGAGGCACTCACAACCTCACAGTTCAAAGTGTTCACTCTTCATTAAAAAGTGGCTGTATCACTCACAGAGGTGTAATCTGTGGAATAATCTGGAGGAACCCTTAAAAGACGTTGGTTGTTTACAGCAATTCACAAAACCTAAAAAGAGAAGTGTGTTTGAGAAATATGCTAAAGACATGTGACTTGTTAGGTTATTATTGTGAATCAGTTTAACCACGTCAAAGCACCACCCAGCACAGGCCTTAGAACCTTACCACAATAAATAGTTAGGGCAGCGGGGTGTGGGCTAACTGATAGGGGGGGGGGTCTCTGCCCTCTGCCCGGACGCTTCACACCCAGCTTTTTAATGCATCTCACTAAATAAGGCAAACAACAAAAAATTGTTCTACAGTCACAACCAATATTTTACAGTGAATTGGGAATGACAGCAAGGGGCATATATCAAAAATAATGTGTAGTGAATAAAACTTTATAACAGTGTAATCTTGTGATAATATATGTGTATATATATATATATATGTGCAGCAGTGAGGGCAATACCTACCACCACAATCACTGAAACCAATGAGCTGATATACACTTCAGCAGCAGTGATCCTAGAGATGCTTGGCTATAAGAGCAACCATGGGAGCCATGGACAATACCCACCATGGAAAAGACGGTTGGAGGCTAAGATCAAGGCGGCTCGGAGAGAAGTGAGTCAATTAACAGAGGCCCAGAGAGGTGCAATGAAAAGACCAGTACCCAGAAAGTACAGCCAGATGACCATACCTGAAGCACTCGAAACTGCCAAACAAAGGCTCCAAGCCCTGGCCAGCCGCCTACAGAGGTACACTAAAGAGAATGAAGCCAGAAGGGTGAACAGGCTGTTCGCAACACAACCTGCGAAGGTGTACGCTCAGTGGCAGGGTAACAACAGGGGAGCAGATCCACCGAGGCTGGAAACTGAACAGTTCTGGAGGAACATATGGGAGAAGGATGCAGCACATAACAGAAGTGCACAATGGCTGGTGTCCCTGAGAGAGGAGCACAGCCACCTCCCAGAACAGAACTCAGTTACCATCACAGAGGCAGACATCCGAGAAAGAGTCTCAGGTATGAAAAACTGGACAGCACCTGGCCCTGATATGGTCCATGCCTACTGGCTAAGGACACTCACATCACTCCATGAGCGCCTAGCAGCACAAATGAACCAGCTGCTGAGAGATGGGACTCACCCAGAATGGCTAACCGAAGGGCGAACGGTCCTGATCATGAAGGACCCTGTCAAGGGTGCAGTCCCCTCCAACTACCGGCCAATAACCTGTCTCTCCACAACATGGAAGCTCATGTCAGGCATCATTGCGGCTAAGATAAGTGGGCATATGGAACAATTCATGAGCACAGCACAGAAGGGCATTGGTAGGGACACCAGAGGAGCCAAACACCAGCTCCTGGTTGACAGAACAGTCGCCCAAGACTGCCGGTCACGACACACCAACCTGTGCACAGCCTGGATTGATTACCAGAAAGCCTACGACTCAATGCCACACACATGGATCATGGAATGCTTGAAGTTGTACAATATCAACAGGGCTCTAAGGGACTTCGTTGCAAACTCGATGGGAATGTGGAAGACCACCCTTGAGGCAAATGGCAAGCCGCTCGCACAAGTGACCATCAAATGTGGTATCTACCAAGGAGATGCTCTGTCCCCACTACTGTTCTGCATAGGCCTCAACCCTCTAAGCCAAGTAATTGACCAGACTGGCTATGGATACCGCCTCAGGAACGGAGCAAAGATCAGTCACCTCCTCTACATGGATGACATCAAGCTGTACGCCAAGAGCGAGAGAGACATCGACTCTCTGATCCAAACAACCAGGATCTACAGCCATGACATCGGGATGTCATTCGGGCTCGAGAAATGTAGCAGGATGGTGACTCGGAGAGGCAAGGTAGTCCACACAGAAGGGATCTCACTCCCAGAGGGAACAATAGCAGACGTTGAGGACAGTTACAAGTATCTCGGTATACCACAGGCAAATGGCAACCTCGAACAGGTGACGAGGAAAGCGGCAACTGCCAAATACCTCCAGCGAGTAAGGCAGGTCCTAAGAAGCCGGCTCAATGGCAAGAACAAGGCCCGGGCAATTAACAGCTACGCCCTGCCAGTGATCAGATACCCTGCAGGAATAATCAGGTGGCCAAAGGAAGAGATTCAGACCACGGATGTTAAAACTCGAAAGCTCCTTACCATGCATGGCGGGTTCCATCCCAAATCCAGCACCCTGAGACTGTACGTAAGCCGTAAAGAAGGAGGCCGAGGACTAGTGAGTGTGAGAGCCACTGTCCAGGACGAAACATCCAAACTCCATAACTACATCATGGAGAAGGCCAAAACGGATGACGTACTCAGTGAATGTCTCAGGCAGTGGCGAGATGAGGAGGTGCTGGAGGAGAGCCCATCATGGGAGAACAAGCCCCTACACGGCATGTACCACCGGAGCATAACAGAAGTGGCTGATCTCAAGAAGTCCTACCAATGGCTAGAAAGGGCTGGCCTACAGGACAGCACAGAGGCACTCATCATGGCTGCACAGGAACAGGCACTGAGCACCAGAGCGATAGAGGCCCAGATATACCACACCAGACAAGACCCAAGGTGTCGGTTGTGCAAAGAGGCACCTGAGACGATCCAACACATAACTGCAGGGTGCAAGATGCTGGCAGGGAAGGCCTACATGAAACGCCATAACCAAGTGGCTGGCATAGTGTACAGAAACATCTGTGGAGAGTATGGGCTGGAAACCCCAAGGTCTAAGTGGGAAACTCCTCCAAAGGTGGTGGAGAATGAGCGTGCGAAGATCCTGTGGGACTTCCAGATACAGACCGACCGAATGGTAATGGCAAACCAACCTGACATCGTGGTGGTAGACAAAGGGCAGAGGACAGCCGTGGTGGTGGACGTGGCAATTCCAAGCGATGGTAACATCCGGAAAAAAGAACATGAAAAGCTTGAGAAATACCAAGGTCTCAGAGAGGAGCTGGAGAGGGCCTGGAGGGTAAAGGTCACAGTAGTGAGAGGGCCTGGAGGGTAAAGGTGACAGTAGTGCCCGTGGTGATCGGTGCACTCGGGGCAGTGACCCCGAAGCTAGAAGAGTGGTTACAGCGGATCCCCGGAACAACCTCGGACATCTCGGTCCAGAAATGTGCAGTGCTAGGAACAGCAAAGATGACGTCTCTAGAGGATCTCAGATACTGCATTAATCTGACGTCTCTGGAGGATCTCAGATACTGCATTAATCTGACGTCTCTAGAGGATGTCAGATACTGCATTAATCTGACGTCTCTGGAGGATCTCAGATACTGCATTAATCTGACGTCTCTAGAGGATCTCAGATACTGCATTAATCTGACGTCTCTGGAGGATCTCAGATACTGCATTAATCTGACGTCTCTAGAGGATCTCAGATACTGCATTAATCTGACGTCTCTGGAGGATCTCAGATATTGCATTAATCTGACGTCTCTGGAGGATCTCAGATACTGCATTAATCTGACGTCTCTGGAGGATCTCAGATACTGCATTAATCTGACGTCTCTAGAGGATCTCAGATACTGCATTAATCTGACGTCTCTGGAGGATCTCAGATACTGCATTAATCTGACGTCTCTGGAGGATCTCAGATACTGCATTAATCTGACGTCTCTAGAGGATCTCAGATACTGCATTAATCTGACGTCTCTAGAGAATCTCAGATACTGCATTAATCTGACGTCTCTGGAGGATCTCAGATACTGCATTAATCTGATGTCTCTAGAGGATCTCAGATACTGCATTAATCTGATGTCTCTGGAGGATCTCAGATACTGTACTGCATTAATCTGACGTCTCTGGAGGATCTCAGATACTGCATTAATCTGACGTCTCTAGAGGATCTCAGATACTGCATTAATCTGATGTCTCTGGAGGATCTCAGATACTGTACTGCATTAATCTGACGTCTCTGGAGGATCTCAGATACTGCATTAATCTGACGTCTCTAGAGGATCTCAGATACCGCATTAATCTGATGTCTCTGGAGGATCTCAGATACTGTACTGCATTAATCTGACGTCTCTGGAGGATCTCAGATACTGCATTAATCTGACGTCTCTGGAGGATCTCAGATACTGCATTAACTGCTCGTGTTGAAGAACGTTTTGTAAGTCACAAAAAGCTGCTCAAACTTCTGCAACAAACTTCACACAACTTCCATCCTGTGCTATTGCAGCATCGCAGGCCAGTGCAGTGGATTGACTTAATTAGAATAGCAATATGTAAGAATTCTAAGTAAAACGTGGTTAAATGGCCCTAATGTCAAAAGGCATTAACAAACCAAGATCTTTTCTAGGGCACCGATACGGGGTGAGATCATAGGCTTGTACTCGTACTCATACCATAGGACCCGATACGGCGCAACCAATTCCCACATTTTTAAATTGACATTAGCGTTACAGCTGTGTGGCACATGTTGCCATGGTGATCCCCCAAATCCCAAAATCTCCCTAAACATCGAGTGAAGAATGAAGTGGACTGTACGTTGTGTAAGGAAAAACTGTCACGAGGTGGGTCCATAACAAACACATCAGCAACTTGATCAAACATCTGAAAACCACAACGCATTTGTATGAGTGGAATATAATGTTGATTGTTAAAACAATTGTTAAAATGTTTAATTGTTAAAGTACGGAAGCTTGTTAGGGCCACTTGTGAGTGTTTTTTTTTTCCGCTGGTATCATGTTATTTCATGATACTTTCATGAAATAACATGATAAATATCATGTTATTTCATGAAACACAACTATCATGTTATTTCATGATACCAATTTATCAGAAGCTGACAGCTTCTTCTTCTTCTGTATCTACAGTATCATGTTATTTCATGATAAACTGGTATCATGAAATAACATGATATTTATCATGTTATTTCATGAAAGTATCATGAAATAACATGATACCAGCGGAAAAAAAACACACTCACAAGTGAACCTAACAAGCTTCCGTATTAAAGCCTTTTCTAATCAGTGATTTCCCAGGGATAACACAAGGCAGTACTCATATAGGTGTTTGGAATCAGCAAAAACTCAAATTAAGGTACTGGTACTCTTATCGGTTTAGAAAAAAGTGGTATCCCTAGTGCATCCCTAGTTTTTTCGAATACTTCTTTAACTGATAACAATAGTTCAGTCGGGATAATCAAATTTCAAAATTTACAATCCCAAAATCTTGTTATTGTTGTTGTTTTGATGTCCTGATCTGGGTTGCCAGACCGCACCACGGCTAGCTAATCTCACTGGTAAAGTAACATGTCAGGCATGTTAATTTACCAGTGAGACAATGTTTATCTGACAATGTTTAAAACCAGGTTAAAGACAGTTCTGTTTAGCTGTGCTACAACTGAGGGATTTTATATTTTTATCTTTCTTTTTTATGTTCTGTGATTATTTATGATTTAATGCTTTCTTATTTTGTTCAGCACTTTGAGTTTCCTTGTGTATGAACCGTGCTATATAAATAAACTTGCCTTGCCTTGAGATTAGTTATTGTGTCAGAAATCTCCATTGAATTCTAATTATGTCTTTCATCCTCTTGAATGTAAACTTCTTGTCAATATCTTTAATAGTTTTAAGGTGGTAATTTTTCTGGGACACTTCCTTCAAATTTGAGCTAAAGCTTATGAGTTGGACTCTCATGTAGGCCTTTAAGGACCCCCAAAGTATTCCTCTCAAAAATTTGCGTTGAATCATTCAAGTCAATAAAAAGTGAGATCTGGGAGCTTAAAAACTGTGTGAAGTCCTCTCTTACTAACAAACCACAGTTGAACCTCCAAAATCTAAGGGGGTGTCTCCTTCCTGCTCTTCCATAATACTGAGGTACAGTGGGGGAAAAAAGTATTTAGTCAGCCACTGTTTGTGCAAGTTCTCCCACTTAAAATAATGACAGAGGTCTGTAATGTTCATCATAGGTTCACTTCAACTGTGAGAGACAGAATGTGAAAAAAAATCCAGGAATTCACATTGTAGGATTTTTAAAGAATTTATTTGTAAATGATGGTGGAAAATAAGTATTTGGTCTCTTCAAACAAGGAAGATCTGTGGCTCTCACCAGGGCTGGACTGGGACAAAAAAACGGCCCGGGCATTTTTTCCTTTTTGGCGGCCCAGGAAACTCAAAAGGTTCAAGGAGCCCTATTTGACAAAAAAAAAAAAAAAAAAAACAGCGTTGCATAAGGCTTATATGAAGGTAACAGGGGCTGAAGCTGTATTAGCTACATTAGCTATATTAGCTATATTAGCTATATTAGACTAATATCTAAATGACAAAGTAAAGGCTAAACACATAAAAACCATTCATGATTATCAAATGTGTATTTTCACTGCAGCGTGTCCTGGAGACCTAACCAGATGGTTACTCTCGATAATGTCAGTATTATACCCAGTAACACTGTGAGGAATCTTGGAGTCATTTTTGACCAAGAACTCTCCTTCAAGGCTTATATAAGCCAAGCAACTAAAACGGCGTACTTCCACTTACGGAACATCGCTAAAATTAGGAATTTCCTTCCTAAAAGTGACGCGGAAAAACTCATTCACGCGTTTGTCACCTCAAGGCTCGACTACTGTAACGCTTTACTGGCAGCGTGCCCTAAAGCGTCTTTGAAGAGCTTCCAGCTCGTTCAGAATACAGCAGCTAGGATCTTAACAGGTACCAAAAGGAGGGAGCACATAACTCCGGTGTTAAAATCACTCCACTGGCTCCCTGTGGAGTACAGAATAAAGTTTAAAATCCTACTCTTAACATATAAAGCCATAAATGGCTTGGCTCCTTCTTATCTCCAAGACACGTTAGTGTCGTATCAACCAAGTCGAGCGTTGCGCTCACAAAACGCCAGACGTCTGGTGGTCCCTAAGGTCTCAAAGGTCACTGTTGGTGGCAGAGCATTTAGCTCCAAGCTCCTTTACTGTGGAATCAGCTTCCCATTTATGTTAAGGAAGCAGATACGGTCTCCACATTCAAGGCCAGGCTTAAAGCACTTTACTTTAATTTAGCATATAATTAGGTAATATATAATATGTAGTGTATATATTATATATATATGCTGTATTATGTTATATCCATCCATCCATCCATCCATTTTCTACCCTTTAATCCATTTCTGGGTCAGGGGGGTGGCAGTCAGAGATGCCACCCAAGTCTCATAGCACCAGCCCCTCACTGACCCTCTGCAGGTGGTGAGTCCACAGGAGGGCGGCTGCTCTCTGAGTGTGAGCACAGCCTTGATCTTTCATATATTATGTTATATATTATGTTATATATTATTCAATAATGTATTGTGTTATGTTGTATATTATGTTATATATTATGCTGTATGTTATTCTTTATTCAAGGCTAGGTTTAAAACAGTCCTCTTTAGTTTAGCATATGGCTAGGAAGGTAAGACTCGGAGAAGGTTAAACTCCTCAGACTGTCAGTCAAGCTGCATAGGGAGCCCCCTGCTGGAGAAGTATGGTAACTTGAGCACTATCCTCTCCTCCTTCCTACTTTATCTGTTTAGCATTTTTAGGATTCTGACTGTAGTTTGTTCATTGCTATTCACCCGTTGTCCCATTGTCTGTTTCATGGTACGATGACGGGATCTCTGAGCCTGGCCTCTTCCATCTACACCTGCGGACTGCCCCGCCCGACCCGCCTGGGAGTGCTTCGGTCCTGCACCGGACCTGTCCACGTTCAGCGTCCACTGGTCCACGTTCTGTAGCTAGCTTAGGTCCTAGATCATTAGTCTGTCCGTCCGGAGGAGCGGATCCCTTTCTCATATGGGTCTCCCTCCCTGTGGGTTTCCCTAGTTCTCCTCCAAGGTTTCTCACTTTTTCCCACTGGGTTTTTTAAGAGTTGTTCCTTGTCGATGCCGGAGGGTCTTGTTGGACAGTTAGTGTCCAACAGAAAGGATTGGTGATGATCAGGACACTTTAGCATTCTACAACATGTATGGACATTTTCTTCTGTGTGTGCTTTATATTCTTCATGTGTTTTAACTGTTGATTCTCTGACCTGTGTTGGTGATTTCAATGGTTTTGTTAAGTCTCTGAGATGACTTCTGTTGTGACCTAGGGCTATACAACAATAAATTGTATTGTATTGTGTATTGTATTGTATTGGAGAGAATGACGCACCACATGACAACTCTGCTTTAAGTTTAACTTCAATTTTTTTGCCTTCATGCAATTGTACAAATACAGTAAATAAATCTGCTTTTTGGCTCCTAGTTCACCTGCATCTCTGTCTGTTCATATCCATCACAGGCTGAAGTTTGCTGGAGCTGAATGTCCTTAACGGCCTTTTCTTTCACCGTCTTTGCGAAGGTATTTGAAGTCTGAAAATAGTTGCTCTGACTTTATGATGAATGAATCTTTCAGTGAACAGTGTTTAAAGCTTCATTCTTCCTCCCGTTGCAACAAAACTTTTCATTACAAACATGAAGCAGTCCTTCCTCAGTGACTGAAAGCAAATGTTCATTCTCATTCTCAGTCCAGTCTTATCGACTCTCTTTATCTTTGGGATCCATGCGCACACACAGTCTATAATGCACACGCCGCCTGGCACTTTAGGGGCACTAAAGGTCGCCGACCCCTGGTTTATACAGTATGTGGAAGCAAATACTGTAGAGGATCAGGATGTCTGCAGTTTCAACTATAAAATACAGTACAATAGTCTACATTAAACAGAGTAATAAACATGTCTCAGAGTGAGGGAGGTGGGCACAGACAATATTGTTTGTTACAGGGATGAGAATTGGTAAAAATTTCTGAAATGCATATCGTCAGCCATTAGCTGGCTCTAAATCTGTTT